AAGAGCTGGCCAAGATTATCCAACAGATCCGAGGGCTCATGAGAGCAGAATAGCGGAGGGGATTGCAGATGGCCACGTATCGGTCATAGGCCATGAGTCCCAGCAGGAAAAATTCAGCCCCTACAAGGCCCATATAGAGGAAGTACTGGGCTGTACAGGCAATGAAGGAAATGGTCCTCTTGTCCCTGAGATAATCGACCAGCATCTTGGGAACAATGGTGGAGATGTACATCATGTCAATGAGAGAGAGGTGGCTGAGCAGGAAGTACATGGGGGTGTGGAGGTGAGGGTCCATGTGGATCAGGAAGATCATGACCCCATTAGCTATCATGGCCATGAAGAAGATGGCACAAATGATGCTGAAAAGGAAACCAGAGGCTTTATTGTTAGTGAAGAGCCCTGTGAGGGTGAAGTCACTGAAAAATGTCTTATTATCTTCATCCATGGTGTTGAGTTGGACCTGGAGGCATAAGAAAAGAAGTCTGGGGTTAATGAAAACTGCGGTAGATAAAACGAACCATTAAAAATGTCTGTACAAGCATGACTGAATTAAAATGTTTTATATAACTGATATCAAGAATATTGTTTTTTGAGTGTGAGGGGGGTGAGCCTGCAGCTTCCTCATTTGTGGTTATTTCTTCTTACTGAAAAGCAGTTCTAAAATTTGGTCCCCATGGCATGAAGATGAATGGTCATCTGGCAATTAACACTTGGTTTAAGCAAGTTTAATTATTATTTCAGAACATCTGGGCCACAGAGAGGATCTTCCCCTGGAGTTGGCTCCATTTATTTGAAATGTGGATACTACTGCAAAACAATTGATTTAATCATTTCAAATAAACCTACAGTTCAGTAAGATGTTCCACTGAATTGAGAATTTTTGTGACAATTTTAAAACCGATCAACCTCATCAGAAAATAACCATTAAGTTGTAGATATGATTGAAAACTATAATGAACTGTAATGAATTGGATCACAGCTTTGGCCATCTGACTATTTATCAGTCACTCATCCTTATTTGTACCTTCACTCATTGTTGATTTTTCAATCAATCACACACCAACCTTTAGTTATGGTGAACAACTTGTACAGAGTTTCTAAGCTCTTGAGTTACTGTTGCAAACAAAAGAGGAAATGTTTCATGTGAGTTATGGATTTAGTTGTGGGAGAATGAGAGTGAATTAATAAAGGACAATGATGGCTCTGGGTAGTAAGAAATACTACAAGGAAAAA